TATTATTATAGTATCGTCATTATCATTATTATCATTGATTCAGGAATGTGACCATGGGAGGGAAAAAGTTGTTACTCATCTCCGAGTGTGCCAAACATTTCTAAAACCCTTCAACTAAATACTTTAGGGCAGTCTTTCCACAAGAGAAAGAAAAAGAAATTACCAAGAAGGCCATTTTTTCAAAGTACAAATAACATTTTCATTCGGGCTTACAGGGCATATTATGATGTTAATTTTTACACAGTGCCTTTCCAAATGTGAATGAGCTTTTAGAGTTGACCAGTAATAAAGGTGAAATTTGAATATGTTCTATAAAAACCCAAGTGCCTTTCTAAACACCACTGACCATGCTTTTAGTTTATGTTCTATAGATCTTTTCTGTTCATGCAGTGCTATACAAAGTGGATGGGTATCATAAATGATGTATGTGTATGTGTGTTTGTATATGTGAGTGTATGTGTGTGTCTGTGTGTGTGAGTGTGTTTGCGTGTGTGAGTGTATGTGTTTGTCTGTGTGTGTGAGTGTGTTTGCGTGTGTGAGTGTGTTTGTGTGTGTGAGTGTATTTGTGCAGTTTTTTGTGGGAGGGGGAGAGAAAGAGAAAGAGAGAGAGAGAGAGAGAGAGAGAGAGAGAGAAAGAGAGAGAAGGAGCGAGGGAGCGAGAAAGAGAGAGGAAGAGAGAGGGGGGAAAGAAATGACTGCTATTAGAACCATAAGGTGTTAGTGTTCTTCGTATACTGGACTGTCCCCGTGGTTTTATGCACCCCGCATAATTTAGCAAAATTTGATCAGTATTTGCATAATTTCCGATTATTTTCCTTTACCATTCTTTGTTAAAATTACCAGAATTGCATAATTTCACATTATTGAGCTCAGTTCGCATAATTTCAGAATTTTTCTTGCATAAAACGACGGGGACAGACTGGAAATGCGTTACATGAGTAACATTTTATTCCTCTTCTTCTTCTCCTTATTCTAAGACAAGAGAGCAGGCAACAACTCACTGTGGTCCCGGCTCCACTGCTGACAGCAACGCTGATGTCTACCTCATCGTCCACGCTGTGAGCGTCCGGCGTCCGGTCGTAGGGCGTGTTGGCCCCACTGCTCTCAGCACTGGCCTCGGGGCCTGAGCTACTACATATGCCGTGCAGGTCTGTGGGCAGATTGGCCGGGTCTCGGCCCGGTAGGCAGTTGTCCACGGGGGTCCGTCGGAACGACGTTGTGATTGTGTCCTGGGTCGCCAGCTCGTCTTGCCTCTTTTTCAGGTTGGTGTTCTGAGAGAAGGAACAAATAAATTACACTTTATTGATCCCGACATAAAAATATAATTAAACCCACAAATATGTTTTAGTAAGCGTTTTACGGCACTTGCAACACAATAAGCTAATATATGTGTGCAGACAAATATACATACAAAGACAACTAAATAAACAATATTACACCAATACATAACAGTTTCATAAAACATGCCATTGCTGGTCGCCACTGTGCAATGTTTTGTTTTGTTTTTTGTTGCTGTTTTTTTTTATAGCTAGGGACATTATGTCTTACTCAAGGACATACCCAAGTGACCACCCACTTAAACTCCTCTCACTGGACACCTGCTTGACATTATTTTTGAGTTAGGACTTACTGGTCATTTGGCCACTGGAGCCCCCAGAAAAAGAAGGGAAGAGAGACAGACAGAAAAAAATGCATTCTTTGAACTGGACTAAAAGCGTGTACTGTCGAGTGTGGTAATAGAGGCACATCATGATTATAACCACATAGACAATGTTATCTTCCAGAAGTTTTGGTCAATTGTCGATTAATAATAACTGTAACAACAACAACAATAATAATAATAATAGTAATAATAATAATAATATTAATAGTAATATCAATAACAACAACAATAATAATAGAAATAACATTTATCATTCCTAATAATTTCAACAATCATAATTTTAGTAACACCATCATTATCAATAACAGTTTATTAAAATAAAAACAGTACAATAGTCATGGTATACGATCCAAGTTCTTGGAAGAAGAAAACTAAACAGAACGACAGAAGGTGGGACCTCACGCTAAGACTACAGTAATAGTCTGACTTTAAAAAGCTGTAGAAAGATGTGCACCAACTGTAACAACAGCCTTATTAATAAGACTTTATTATGGCACTGCTCAGTGGTGACGAGGCTTGTATAGTGTCTATGAACACCACAGAACACCAATACTATTGTATTGGTCTTCTGTGATGTACACCAACATGTATTTTTACAAGTGCTGTGCCATTTTGAGAGGAAAAAAAACTCTGCTGAAGCTTCAAAGCGTGAGATCACTATTCCTGCTATTTATATACAGTGTGCGAATAGTTTTTCTTCTTTTTTTTCTTATACATTTGCATGTCTGTCGGTAGCTATCACTATTCAATATTCACCATTCACAGCACTTCTCATCCAGTAGGGCTGGGCAATAAGTCGCTTTGGCAAAATCCGGATTATATGTTAATTCACCTCTTCGGCAAATAATATGTTTTGAACTGCTTCGGTAAATGGGTATTGGTATCACTTCAACAATTGGGAGCACCCACTTCGGCAAACGGGTCAGGAAAGAGAGTTAAGAGTCTGAATTCGGTTAATGTTTCATTGAGAATTATCCGATTAACGGATAGTTTATCTGGATTTTGCCCACCTCTATCATCCAGTGATTTTGAGCCAAGTGTACGCCTACCTCTACACTTGCCGAGGCTGCAGTTTGCGCAGCGCAGTGGTGATAAAACATTGTTCATTGTTCGAAAAAAGAGGCGACAATGACAGGAGAGGAGGGGAGAGGAGGGGGATAATAAAAAGAGGTGAGCACGAGGTCAGCTCCCCACCCAATGAGCCAGCCTAAGGGAGACCCTGCGTGGGTGATGGCCGGCTCATGTGTTTGTTTTTATTCAAAACACGACAGTCAGTCCCCTGGCCTTAACTAAGCATGAAATGCCACTATTTGATGACATCACATCACAACACTCTTACGCTTCCAATGTCCAATTGTGCAAGAGGAGATAAGCATGCCTATGTTACCCTACAAAAAGGGTGAATGACGAATAGTGAAATTGAAAGGGCACAGCTGTAGTCATTACCATCCCTATACAGCCATTGAACATTTCCCATCAGGACAATAAAGCATTATCCAATTGTATAATAATAACATAAAAAGAACAAAAAGTATTACCATAATCCTCAGACTACTTTCACTATAACTACTACTACTACCACCACTCTTCGTACTACTTCAGCTTATGAACAAACAAGGTCATACATAGAGACAAAGCCTGCCCTGTAAGCTCAGCTGGTATCGTGCTGAACTATGGATCAGATGGACCTGGTTCGAATCCCTGCCTGGGCGTTCAGGTAATTTATCGTGCTTTCAAGGCTCCCAACCCATTTGCTTCCGTCTTAACGGAGAGGTGCGTTAAATTTGGAGGTCCCGCCTGTTAAATAACGTACTGGCGTTGATAGTGGTTTTAAACCAATACACTAACTTTACAGAAAACATAAAAAGAAATCTTTTGAGAGACTGACCTCTCTGCGGTTGTTGATGAGTCGCATGGACCTCTCTATGATGTAGAAGAGGTAGATGCCACCCATGACAGTGGAGGCCTTCCATAAATAGCTTCTGTCGTCATCGTGAACTAATGCAAAAGCCTAGGGGAACACAGAAACACACAACATTAGAAGTGCTGCACAGCAGTAAATTACAGTGATCAGTACATTAATTCTTTCACAGTCTGCCAGGCCGTGACGGTCTCAAGTTAGGCAGAGGACGGACTAAAGGCCATATTTCATAAAATTAATTTTTAGATTGTTAGAAATAAAAACGCATCAATGTAAAAATATCTGGTAATATTTTGCATGGGGAAGGGGAATATAGTGGAGCAGCAGAGAGCACGGTAGTCAAACGGTAATGAAATTGGGACAGGTAAGAAGAATGGCCTACCTGAGGCATGTTCAATCCGTTAGATATTTCGCAAAGAACAGTCTAGGGCAATAGGTATATCGAAAAGAAGTAGAAGAACAGATGACATCAGATTCAACTCCC